AGCACAACAATACTTAAACACTTGCCCTCCAGAGGATTTACCCCCCTCCTGACCAGGCCATTTTTTGAGATATGGCACTGCGTCATTTTAAATGACAAATTAAATTTACGTCCTTTTTTTCCCACAAATGGAACTTTCTTTCGGTGGTATTTGATCGCCTCTGCATTTTTTATTTTTTGTGCTATAAACAGAAAAAAAACGACAATTTAAAAAAAAAACAATCTTTTTGACTGTTCGCTATAAAACATGTCCAGTAAAAAACATTTTAAAAATCACATTTTGTCGTAAATTTCGGCCAAATGTATTCTGCTCCATGTCTTTGATAAGAAAAAATCCTGATATGTGTAAACTGGTTTACATGAAGGTTATAGCCTCTGCAAATGGCGGTATATATATATATTGGAATTTTTTTTATACTACTAATGGCAGCGATCAGCGACTTATTGCGGGACTGCAGTGCACATTCTGACACTGGGGGGAACTGACTAACTGCCACAGACATCCCCAGTGACACCAGTTAATAAAAAGCACTGACACTGTACCAATGGCACTGGGCAAGAAGGGGTTAACATCTGGGGAGATCAAAGGGTTAACTGTGTGCTGTTTTACAAACTGTGCTGTGTGTGTTGTACTGTGTAAGCATGCTGCTTTGTATGGCTCTGCTATCCAGAGCCATACAAAGCAGCATGCTAGTGCTGACAGGGGAGAGTTCTGTATTGTTTACATACAGATCTTTCCCCTGTCAGTGATCCTCAGCGATCGCTAAGTGCTGACGGGAAATCTCCGGCTGAGATCCGGTGATTGACAGCTGTAGCCACCAATGGCAGTGAGGGGGTAGGGCGATATTTTGTGTGTGCGCTCCCTACCGGGAAATACAAAATCACATACAGTATATATATATATATATATATATATATATATATATATACATGATTTTGTGCAGCCCTGTAGCTGTAGTTCTGCTATAGGGCAGTCAGGAAGCGGTTAAACAAAAATGAGCTGCATGGTTGAGTTGCCAGAAAGAAGCCAATGCCATAAAAAGCCCAGTTATGTTATGCCAACTACACCTTGACACGCCCCACTGGGGATTTTTTTTTTGGCTCATTAAAGACTTCTTTCTGGCATCTCGACCATGCAGCTCATTTTTGTTCAAGTATCGTCGTGATGAAACAATCACACCGTCTTTTTCCAGAGAAGCCTGCTGCCCATTATGATTTGAAAAGGAGCCAAACAACTATGTGATAATAAATGGCTTCATATAATCACTACCCTTAAATAAAAGACAGTTTTTTGGTATGATCAGTCAGATTTTCAATATCAGTGACACAATTTCCGCCAAGGAATGCAAACTTTTGAGCCCAATTGTATATGTACTTGAAAGGGTTGATTTTGGAGGTGGTACTGCCTGCCAAACACGCCCTGTGGTGTACATTTTGCTGCACACCACACTAATGTGGACTGATGTTGCCGCTGCCCTTGTTAACTTATGGCTGGGTGGTAGGGGGGGAGTAAACGTGCAGCTCAACAGCCTGTTTTACCGCCCAGATGAGACCCTAAAGGTACACCACATTTCAAGGTACAACCATATATAGGGTGTAACATGAAACATTTAGGCGTTCCCTAACTCCAACCCTGAACCGTGGGGTTCTCCCTTCAGCAGGGATTTAAAAATGATCGAGGCTGTGCGTGACTCCTCCTACCTAGCTGAGTCATCCATTTGCTGTGATTGTGTGTCGGTAGACTACAAGTCCCATCTGCCACCATGGCATTGTGCTGGGACAAGTGCAGGGATGCCAATGCACATGTAGTCCATCCAACACTTCCTCTAGCTCCATATGCCTAGGTTCACAGAGAGAAATGTCCCTGCACCATTTGTGGAATTGCAGACCGCATGGACACTGCAAATACAGTGCATTTCCCTGCGCGGGTGCGATTTCCATTGCGGGCAGTGTGCCATTAGGATTCATGGCACCTGCCGCCATCTCCTGTGCATTTCTCTCTGCGGTGGTTGTGACTGCTGGAACAGCTGCAGGTCCCAAAGTGGCAATCACCCAGGTGTGAACCTGACCGCTACCGTCTACCGCCCCTCTGAAATGCAATCCATGGTGGATCACTTTTCAGAGGGTAGCAGAGCAGCAGCTGCCAGGCATTCAGGGGGCAATACTGCCACCTCCTGCAAGTCGCAGAAATGGACTTTCTATTGACATACCATGGAACATCGGCAAGCAAAGCGTTTGGCTCAGTGTTATGCCACTACCCCATTCACTTTAATGGGTTCCATTTGGCAGCAGTAAAGAAAATGCCACCTGCAGTAAACGGCTCATAAAAAATGGAAGGAAGACTTTGAAAACCCATCAGATCTCAATGGGGAGAAATCTCCTGTCTCTATACTGACATGGACCGGGTGATGGGTGAGGAATGTAAGGATGCCCCATCGTTTGATGGAAATGAAAATGATCGACCTACAGAGGACTGAATTCAAAGACACCCCGAAAATCAAAGTGAAGAAATGATGCAGCAGGTGAGTCCATTTGGCTGAAATGTCATTGCAGGAACTCAGAATGGTCCTCAGTAGTTTGTGTGGCCGCCACGTGGTTGTATGCATGCCTGACAACGTCGGGGGAGGCTCCTAATGAGACCACGGATGGTGTCCTGGGGGATTTCCTCCCAGATCTGGACCAGGGCATCACTGAACTCCTGGACAGTCTGAGGTGCAACCTGGCAGCGTCGGATGGACCGAAACATGACATCCCAGAGATGTTCTTTTGGATTTAGGTCAGGCGAGTGTGGGGGCCATTCAATGGTATCAATTCCTTCATCCTCCAGGGACTGCCTGCATACTCTCACCACATGAGGCCGGACATTGTGGTGCACCAGGAGGAACCCAGGACCCACAGCACCAGGAGGAACCCAGGACCCACTGCACCAGGAGGAACTCAGGACCCACCGCACCAGGAGGAACCCAGGACCCACCACACCAGGAGGAACCCAGGACCCACCGCACCAGGAGGAACCCAGGACCCACTGCACCAGGAGGAACCCAGGACCCACTGCACCAGCTTAGGGTCTGACAATGGGTCCAAGGATTTCATCCCGATACCTAGTGGCAGTCAGGGTGCCATTGTCTAGCCTGTAGAGGTCTGTGTGTCCCTCCATGGAGATGCCTCCCCAGACCATCACTGACCCACCACCATACCGGTCATGCTGAACCATGTTACAGGCAGCAGAACGTTCTCCACGGCTTCTCCAGACCCTTTCACGTCTGTCACATGTGCTCAGGGTGAACCTGCTCTCATCTGTGAAAAGCACAGGGTGCCAGTGGTGGACCTGCCAATTCTGGTGTTCAATGGCAAATGCCAATCCAGCTCTATGGTCCCGGACAGTGAGCACAGGGCCTACTAGAGGACGTCGGGCCCTCAGGCCACCCTCATGAAGTCTGTTTCTGATTGTTTGGTCAGAGACATTCACACCAGTGGCCTGCTAGAGGTCATTTTGTAGGGCTCTGGCAGGGCTCAGCCTGTCCCTCCTTGCACAAAGGAGCAGATACCGGTCCTGCTGATGGGTTAAGGACCTTCTACGGCCCTGTCCAGCTCTCCTAGAGGAACTGCCTGTCTCCTGGAATCTCTCCTCCATGCTCTTGAGACTGTGCTGGGAGACACAGCAAACCTTCTGGCAATGGTACGTATTGATGTGCCATCTTGGAGGAGTTGGACTGCCTGTGCAACCTCTGTAGGGTCCAGGTATGGCCTCATGCTACCAGTAGTGACACTGACCCTAGCCAAATGCAAAACGAGTGAAAAACAGTCAGAGAAGATGAGTAGGGAAAAAATGTCAGTGACCTCCACCTGTAAAACCATTCCTGTTTTGGGGGTTGTCTCACTGTTTCCCATCTAGTGCCCCTGTTGTTTCATTAACACCAAAGCAGCTGAAACTGATGAACAACCCGCTCTGCTACTTCCCTGACCAGATCCATATCCCAGGAGTGTCATTGACTTGATGCTAGACTCGGATTACAAAGTGTTCCTTTCATTTTTTGAGCGGTGTATAAGGCTCCATGCACACTAGCATTTTTAGAAGCTCCTAGAAGCTATTATCAGAATTTGTTTTCTGCTCCTAGAAGCTAAATACTGTTCTCCTATGTATGTGTCCATACACACTTCTTTAGGCTATGAGCATTTTTTGAGTTTCAGCGTCTAGGAGAAGGAAAAAAAATAGTATTCTAGCATTTTTTGGAGCGTTTGTAGCAGAAAAAAAAAACGCTAAATGCTCCTAACAGTGGCGTCCCGAGGCAGGTGCGGGGGGGGGGCGCACGCCGCACCATTTGACACTTGACCCGCTCCACGAAAATGTAAGTTGTAAAGAAAGCCGACGATCCCCGCGGGATGGATGGGATCTGCGGATTGGGGAGCATAATGGATCGGACTCTGATCCATTATGCTCAATCCGCAGATCCGATCCATTCTGCGGGAATCGTCGGAGGGGGTGTCACCAAATGTTATCACACCGGGTGACACCAACTCTAGGGATGCCCCTGACGTCTAACAGCTTTTTTGTCGATTTGTTTTCCTCCACATGTACTGAAAAAATGCTAATAAAACGCTAATGCTCATAAACGCTTCCGAATGCTACTAAAAAAATGCTAGAGGGCATGGAGCCCTAATGCTGCAATCATGGCTGCTGGCCATGTGAACTTGTAGCTTGGCAGTCAGAGGCTGAAAAAATTACAGCTTAACCAGGGGCGGACTGACCATTCGAGCTCTCGGGCTCAGGGTCAGTAGGGGCAGCATGAAATGCCCCTGGTACCTTTTTATAGGCTTTTTTTGGGTGTGCTTTGAGTGTGGGCGAGGACACAGGGGCCCCATGATCCCCTATTGCCCGGGGGCCCCATGAGCTATCGGTCTGCCCCTGAGCTTAACCACCTACTTTTACCGCCCCTCCATGGGCTACCTGTACCTCTATAGAGATCTGGGGTTGGGGGTCAACAATACAAGAGCCTGAGCCAGGGGCGGACTGACCATTTGGTAACTCAGGCACTGCCCGAGGGCCCGGGGTCAGTAGGGGGCCCCATGAGATGCCCCTGGTACCTTTTTCATAGGCTTTTTTTTGAGTTTGGGCAAGGACACAGGGGCCCCATGATCCCCTATTGCCTGGGGGCCCCATGAGTTGTCAGTCCGCCCCTGGCCTGAGCATTGCATTTGGAACGCTCTGTTCACAGTCGCAATGCTTTGCAGCCTCCAACGCAAAAAAAGGAATGAATGCTATTTTTAATTTTTTTTTATTCATTGTTGGTGCGTGTGTTTTTTTTTTTTTCATTTTTCAAAACGATTGCCTTTAAGTTGCCTTTTTTTCTGCATCTTCGGGAATTTAAAGAAAGCCTTCAGAGTAGGTCCATGCATGCTGGGATTTGTAGTCCCCCAGCAGCTGCTCAGTCCAATGCAGCAGCAGCAGTCCTGACCTGTTGGGGGGGCAGCGAGCCATTCCAGGCAGCTCTACAGAGAGCCCTCCCTCCCTATTTCTGGGAAGTGCTGCAGCTTTTTGTTCTGCACACACCTGAGTGATGTCAGCAGCTGAGTGGGGCTGACCTAGAGAGGAGAGACGTACACAGGAAATGACTGCAGGGAGGAGACATCTCATAGGCAGCAAACAGCCATGTCTTCTGTAAGACAGCTTCATCCTGAAGAGCCATAGTTACCCCAGCCTGGGTCCCTTCTAAGCTTCAGCCCCCCTCCCTGGAGGATTCTGGGAATTCCCAGACAGGTAAGAGCCAAATTTCCCAAATGAGGAACTTGGTGATCAATGCTGCAAGCAACCTCTGCACCGTCTCTGCTCCTCTGCACCTCCTCTGCATGCAATGCTGGGCTGTGTCCGCTCTCTCTCTGTGCTCATACAATAGTTCCTGAAAACCATTAGATTGCTGCTCCATATCCCCCCATTCCCCACCACCTGCCGTCCTATTTGCTGAAAATTCCCGTCTCCTGTGATCATAAACTCTTCTTGGGTTGTCATGTTTTTTTTTCCTATTCCCATTCATGTATGCAAAGCTGTCGCTGCTATAGCTGCCAATCTAGATTTTGTACATCGCCACAGAATACGTTGGTGCTATGTATGAAGATCTGGTTCTCTGAATGTCCCCCTTGAAATCGTAAACTCTTCTTGGGTTGGGTTGTCATGTTTTTTTCCTATTCCTATAAGCTCTATTTTGGGTTGTTGTGTTTTTGGGTTTTATTTTCCTATTCTCATGCAAGTCTGCAAAGCTGTCGCTGCTATAGCTGCCAATCTAGATTTTGTACGTCGCGACAGAATACGTTGGTGCTATATACGGAGATCTGGTTCTCTGACTGTCCCCCCTTGAAATCGTAAACTCTTCTTGGGTTGGGTTGTCATGTTTTTTTTCCTATTCATGTATGCAAAGCTGTCGCTGCCAATCTAGATTTTGTACATCGCCACAGAATACGTCGGTGCTATATATACGAAGATCTGGTTCCCCCTTGAAATCGTAAACTCTATTTTGAGTTGTCATGTTTTGTTTTTTTTTCCTATTCTCATGCAAGTATGCAAAGCTGTCACTGCTATAGCTGCCAATATAGATTTTGCACATCGCCACTGAAAACGTTGGTGCTATATACAGAGATCTGGTTCTCTGGGTGTCCACCCCCCCCCCCCCTCATGTATGCCCCTATGACATCGCCACTGAAACTCTTGTTGGGTTGTTGTGGTGTTTTTTTTTTTTTTCCTATTCCCATTCATGTATGCAAAGCTGTCGCTGCTATAGCTGCCAATCTAGATTTTGTACATCGCCACTGAATACGTTGGTGCTATATACGAAGATCTGGCTCCCCCTTGAAATCATAAACTCTACTTTGGGTTGTCGTGTTTTTTGGGTTTTATTTTCCTATTCTCATGCAAGTCTGCAAAGTTGTCGCTGCTATAGCTGCCAATCTAGATTTTGTACATCGCCACAGAATACGTTGGTGCTATATATGGAGATCTGGTTCTCTGACTGTCCCCCCTTGAAATCGTAAACTCTTCTTGGGTTGGGTTGTTGTCATGTTTTTGTTTTTTTTCCCATGCAAGTCTGCAAAGCTGTCGCTGTTGTAGCTCCCAATGTAGATTTTGTACATCGCCACAGATTAAGTTGGTGCTATATAGGAAGATCTGGTTCTCTGACTGTCGCCCCCCCTTGAAATCGTAAACTCTTGGGTTGTTGTGGGGGGGGGGGGGGGGTGACCATCTGGAAACTCGGACACTGCCCGAGGGCCTGGGGTCAGTAGGGGGCCCCATGAGATGCCCCTAGTGCCTTTTTCATAGGCTTTTTTGAGTTTGGGCAAGGACACGGGCCCCATGATCCCCTATTGCCCGGGGGCCCCATGAGTTGTCAGTCTGCCCCTGGTCGGGTCCTATTCCCATTCAACTATGCAAAGCTGTTGCTGCTGTAGCTGCAGATAAAGATTTTGTACATCGCCACAGGATACGTTGGCGCTATATATGAAGATCTGGTTCCCCTTGAAATCATAAACTCTATTTCGGGTTGGGTTATCATGTTTTCTTTTTTTTTTTTCCTATTCTCATGCAAGTCTGCAAAACTGTCGCTGCTATAGCTGCCAATATAGATTTTGTACATCGCCACAGAATACGTTGGCGCTATATACAATGATCTGGTTCCCCCTTGAAATGGTAAACTCTTCTTGGGTTGGGTTGTTGTGGGGTTTTCTTTTTTTATCCTATTCAAGTCTGCAAAGCTGTTGCTGCTATAGCTGCCAATATAGATTTTGTACATCGCCACATAACAAATTGGCGCTATATAAGAAGATCTAGTGCCCCCTTGAAATTGTAAACTCTATTTTGTTTTGGGTTGTTAGGTTTTTGTCTTTTTTCCTATTCCCATTCATGTATGCAAAGCTGTCGCTTGTATAGCTGCCAATATAGATTTTGTACATCGCCACTGAATACGTTGTTGCTATACACGAAGATCTGCTTCTCGGAATGTTCCCCTCCCTTGAGATTGTAAACTCTTCTTAGCGTGGATTGTCGAGTTTATTCCTTATTGTATTTAAGTACGCTACACTGTCATTGTTATAGCCCCCCCCCCCCCCCATTACAGACTTTGTACGTCGCCACAGAATAAGTTGGTGCTATATATAGAAGTCGTATTCGCAGAACGTTCCCTTGAGATTATAAACACCTCTTGGGTTTGGTTGTCGTGTTAATTTCTGTTCGAATTGAAGTCCAATTTGTTATGCGTGATGCAAACTGGTGACTCTATAATAATCCCATAATATAATAATCCTAACAATAGGTATGCTGTGCTGTCATAGACCTCATTATAGTCTTTGTACATCGCCACAGAACAAGTTGGTGCTACAAGCAGAATCATATTAATTGATCTTGATATTGTAATCTTTTCTCAGGTTGGGTTGGCCTGTTTTTTTTGGGGGGGGGGGAGGGGGGTTTCCCTCCTCTCATTAAGTATTCTCTACTGTCGTTCATGTTGCTGCCAATATGGACTTTGTACATCACCACAGAATAAGTTGGTGCTATATATCAAAATCATATAAATTGACAATTCCTGGAGATTGTTAGCTGTTCTTGGATTAAGTTGTCATGTTGTGTGGGGTGTGTTTTTTTTTTTTTTTTGTTTGTTTTTTTTTTTTTTAATAATATCACACAGGATTTATATAGAGCCAACAGTTTGCGCAGCGCTTTACTATAAAATTTATATATTATAGTAAAGCACCGTGCAAACTGTTGGCTCTATATAAATCCTGTGTGATATTATTATTGAGAAAAAAATAAATAATTTAAAAATTTTATATATATATATATATATATATATATATATATAATTTATTTATTTTTTCTCAATAATAATAATATCACACAGGATTTATATAGAGCCAATAGTTTGCGCAGCGCTTTACTATAATATATATATATAAAAAAAATTTTATAGTAAAGCGCTGTGCAAACTATTGGCTCTATATAAATCCTGTGTGATATTGTTATAAAGAAAAAAAAAAAATGTATTTTTTTTTTTTATATATATATATATATATATATATATATATATATATATATATATTATTATTATTATTATTATTTTTTTTTCTTTTTTTTTTCCCCATTTATTATCATCAATATCCTATTAGCTGAAAATGTCCTTGATATTGTTAACTTTTCTTGGGTTGAGTTGTTTTTTTTTTTTCCGATGCCCATGTACGTATGTCGTTGTTCTAACTGCCAGTATAGACTTTGTACATCGCCACAGAACAAGTTGGTGCTATATGCAGAAACATTATTTACAGAACATTTCCCTCGGGATTGTAAACTCTTCTTCTCGGGTTGGGTTGTCCTTGTTCGGCCGGGTTCTCCATTCCCTTCACTCTCTGTCCAATAGCCATAACAGGAAGTGAGAAGAAATCCCTCCAAAGTAATTGAATTCTCTGGTTGTCACCAGAACTAGTGCCCCCCCTTGGAAGAGTTCCCCTCTATTTCCTGTTCTAGTGAGAAAACCAAAATGTTGATGTGCTGTCAAGGACCATACTGATAGAAGGAGAGAGCTGAGTCCATCACTGCGCTGCTTCTCCTTTCACTGTCCAGCCACAGGTTGGGGGCTCGTCCGGGATGACCTGGGCATAGAAGAGCCCAAGAGATGTTCTAATCCCTCTCCGTTCTATCCAAAATTAAATATTTTATATATTATTAAAGCTACTTATATAGCGCCGTCAATAGTGTGTGTGTAATATATATGTATGTGTGTGTATATTGTACATTCACATCAGTCCCTAACCCTCAAGGGGCATACAATCTAAGGTCCCTAACTCACATTCATACACATACTAGGGACAATTTAGACAGGAGCCAATTCACCTACCAGCATGTCTTTAACCACCTCTCGCCCGCCCTATAGTACAATGACGGGCGCAAGTTCTCTCATTCTGGGAGGACGTTATATGACGTTCTCCCATTCTAACCGCTCATGTGTGGCTCTCGGACACAGCGGGATCACCGATCAATGGAAAGAGCCGAAGATGTCGGTTCGGTCATGTGATCAGCTGTGTCCAATCACATGTAAACAGGGAAATGCCGGTTATCGGCATTTCTCTCCTCGCGAGCTGTCACGCTGACAGAGGAGAGGAGAGTCGGTAATTGGCGTCCCTCAGAGGGGACATGTACACTGATCAT